ATTGATTTACACTTATTATTTTTTGATCCGTGACCATTGTTTGCTATTCTGAAAACTTTGCTTTCATTTTTAACCCCTTAGCTGTCAAAGATCGGTGATGGTCCCAGATTATTGATGTTTCATTACTATTTGTAATTTTTTAATTCAGCTTTTTTATTACTATTTACTTATTGATGTTACTCTTACTTAATCTGGACAAACTGTGCATCAGTAGAAATATGAAAGAGTCTAGCTTCGATATTTGACCACTGTTTTGATAAAACATTGTTGCAGTGACAGTAATTTAGTCATTTATGTCAGGAGGGCAAAATAATAAATCGGTATGTGTCATATTTAGAATAGAAATTCACCCCGCATTCATTTTCAGTCACGTCTGCGGAGGTTTATTTGTGTTCACATAGCTTCACTGAACAGCGTCAATAAGGGCTTATAGTCCAAAGATGCATATACATGGAGATATATAGATATATTTACACATGTTTACTTCATATTTCTTCAGACAGAAAAATCATTTCTATTCATTTTCCACTGATTTACGCGATCTGATGATAATTAACCGCTCCCTGGGCTGTTTCTGTGTGTTTACTCTTCCATGCTCGCGCTGTGACAGACAAACTCTGATTCGTCCTTCGTCTTGTCAATCTTTTGTGTTTCATAACAAGCCCCGTCTCATCCTGTCACGCGTTTCCTTCACTCTTCCATGTTGATTTCTGACCACAACAACACCGCGAAACCTCTGTACCCACGAAATATCCAAATAATAAACACACGATTACGATAGTATATGATTTGTATGTGATTTTATACACGGAGATATATAGATATATTTACTCATGTTTACTTCATATTTCTTCTGACAGAATCATCATTTCTATTAATTTTCCACTGATTTACGTGATCTGATGATAATAAGCCGCTCCCTGGGCTGTCTCGGTGTGTTTACTCTTCCGTGCTCGTGCTGTGACTCACAGAAACCCTGATTCGTCCGTCGCCTTGTCAATCTTATTGCATCTCATAACAAGCCCCGTCTCATCCTGTCACGAGCTTCCTTCACTCTTCCGCGTTGATTTCAGAGAAACCTCTGTACCCACGAAATATCCAAATAATAAACACACGATTACGATAGTATATGATTTGTATGTGATTTTCTGGAGATTTGGGGTATTTTCATAACAAATAATGTGTACATCTGAAATGCTAATTTGTGCAGCGATATAAAAGGCTATAAATAGCATATTTTAACAACAGTAAATGACCAAATTCCACATGAGATCGCAAAAGGAGGTTATTACAAACACTCGATGGTGGTTTAAAGTGAGTTTTGAGTAAAAGTATACTAATAATCTCATAAATTGTCTTATGTAGCTTGATGCTAATGTTAGCTCTAATGCAGCTGCAGAACAGGTGCAGCTCTTCTTCATGATGTATTTTGTCATAATAATTAATTCACGTAAGGTAGTAAGAAAATGTTTTGTTGTATTTTTATAGAAAGACTTTTGATAATAGGCGGGTAAATGTATACTGGGATTGAAGTGATGTGGCTTGGTAAACCTTGTAATGACAGAATAAAGGCTACTAATGGCTGAATAAAACAAAAGAATAATGATAAAGGAATAATGAGGATTATGTGTCATACCTCGCTGAGGTGTGAAAGGTTCGTCGAGGAAAAAAATTTTGTGCAATATAATTTTACTTGTGTTTTTAAATTTTGGTTTCACGCTTGTTATTTTTTTTTTATCCGTGACTGCAATACATTTGGCGGGAATCTGATCCCATAGACCGACTGGTGATCGTGAATGAATCGTTCAGTTCGATTTGTAAGACCGGGTTTGTGAACCGGTTCATCTGATTCATTGAAAAGATCCGATTCGCAAGGATTCATACACGATTCAGTTATTTCTGATGATTATTAATCTTATTATTATGATCACAACGACGACATAAATTAAAAGGAAAAAAAAAACAGTAAAAAGGAAGGTTGTAAAACGGCAGTTTGTAAATATGTAAAGTGATTTAATTCACTCAAGCCTTTAAAATCTGCAGCATGCAATGGACGTATGAAATAAAACAGTATTAATGCCTCAGAAATGTATCTTTTGGCAAGTTGATAGATTCATGTCGTGTTCGTGTGTTGTAACCAATGACAATAGAGAGGGGTTGTTCTTTCTCTTCCATGAAAAAGAGGCGGGGTTTGAGTTTGGGAAAATTTAGAGAACAGCGTAACAGCAAGTCTTGAGGGAGAAATCTGCTAAATGAAACTCGATTTTAGACATGGAAATCGCCTTTTAAGGTAAGTGGTTGATCGATTCAGTTCAACAGTATATGATACGGGTGCATTAGGCATTAGAGAAACCGCAGCAATCCTCCGGATGAAATGCAGGAATCTCCGTAAGGAAAGCCCTGCCTGAACTATTCAGAGTCACCAGGCGCCTCTCTGCTTTTCACATCACGTTACTCGACAAACTCCCTCTTGTTGCTCATAGCCTCTTTAATTTTAGGACTAGTGATCTAAAGTCCCCAACAACCCTGCAGTCTTCAGGATTGGCGGCTTCAATTTGAACGTGCTTTACATGATATGACAATGTTAAAGTGCACGTTAACCTAATCCTCTCATGTGTGCAGTATACTGGAATATTTCTTTAACGATTTTAGATTAAAAAAAAATCATAAATGGCAGCATGTCAGAATATTCTCCACACCTATGATACTGGGTTAAAAGTATGAGTTTAATTGATGCCATAATGTTATGTGAAATATCTGTTACTGTTATGAAATATGACAAAGAAATACCAGAAAATTCTTTTTTTTTTTTAAATCATGCAGTAGCCTACTAAAAATGGTGTGATGTCAGAATAATATCAGATTTCCTCTTCACATTTTGCTATTTAATATGTTCAGACTAAACACTGTAAAGAGGAGCTTTGATGAGATTGACGTCTGTTTAAAACAAATGAAACAAAACGAAAATATTTTGAGGAAGTTTACTGGAAGGAACTAGTCTTTAGAAATCTGATCCAGTGAACTTTTCTCTGCCTTGTGTGCGCAGTGTGATGTTGGGAAGTCTAATCCATGCCTTCATCCAGCACTGAGAAGCGTCTGTAGCCTCACTCACACGTCTGCCCGCCGGAGGAAGGCTGAAACTTTTGAAGGCGCTGCGTCTGGTCGCGCGGATCCAGTGTGAGTGAACGGTGGGATGAAACTCTTCTCTTTGGCTTCATTTCCTCGCGTGTTGTCACGGACATATTCAACATAGGAGCCACCGGCAGCTTCAACTAATAATGCGGCGTGATTGATCATCGGTAGGAGACAATACCCATCCACTGCTTTCCATTCCTACATATTCACTGGATATCTGTAGACGAAGTGCGGGCGAAGAGGCTTTTGTTCTGCGGCGTTTCTCGCTGTGACAGGACTTGTTTCGTTTAGAGCAATATGACGTCTCCGGCTAAATTCCGAAAGGACAAGGAGATTATTTCCGAATATGAAACGCAAGTTAAAGGTAAGTGAAATATGTCGCATTCTTCCACGGCTACCATTGTGTTTTTGTTGGATAGGTTACTATCAGCTACTACAGCTTGTTGAGGTTGTAACGTTACGTATAGACAAGGCAGGGCGTTTTCTTTTGCCCTGCGTGTCTCTATACGAGCTGGTGTGGTGCTGTGTTCAACCAATTGATTTTGTTTTAAACATGTCAGGTTAGTTGACATAGATGTTTTACAGTAAGTCAGGGACGTGGCAACACGTTTAAAGCCGAAAACTGTTGTGGCGTGGCACCACTGAGCGTGAACGAAGTAAAGGTGCGATGCTTGGTGACAGTTCGGTTATGGCTGTAACCTCATCAGTTTTATTCATACAACGCTGTGGTAACAGTGTAAAGTGTTAGTTTAGAGGCTTAGGGGATGTTTTCATTTATTTTATTTTTTTTGAGTAGAAATGTAGTATTTCATGAAGTAATTGTAACAATACACCGCACATATTTCTTCACTCGCACCCGTGTACGCAACGCTTGTTTTTGTCTCTCTAACGTTAGAGGGATTCCGTTCCCATAGAAACATCTGTCTGATGAAGTAAAACGAAGCTGTTATTAATTGAAAGACGGATTGAATGATTCACTTCATTAGTGAAGCTCATGTTATTCACGCCGTTATGTGTGCCTGCTCTTTTGTGTATTTGCCCGGTTACTGGCACTTTGAATAGAGCAATTGAACAGCCCTTGCCTGTTGCTGCTGAGTGTGGGGAAAATCTCCATTAATAAGAGCCAGTGAGTTTCTCATCTTATGAGAGTTTTCATTCAAGTAGGTCATTGTGACATATAACTATTGCTAAACAAAACCAGAGCCTGGTTTAGGGTGTCTACTGTCTAAATGCAAGTTTTGCATGGAAATAGCTAAAACAGTTCAAACTAGCCTATGTATGATGGTTTTAGATAGTGTGTCAGCATGGTCTTTACTCTTTTGGCTGGTTTTAGAAGGGTTTTGGTCAGTTTTTTAGGCAATGAGGCTGAGAGACCATCTTAAACCAGCTAAGACAGGCAAACCATCTTAGCTGTTTGTTTGTTTAGTTCAGCAGTCTATATATATGTAAGGAAATGGGAATTTTAAAATAGTAAGTTCCCCTCTCAAAAGTAAATGGAAATCTTGAAATGAAATCTTAAGTCAGTAAAAAATCATTACAGTTGCTGAATATAAAGTCTTATGGTTATGCTCAACTTAACACTTAACATTTAACACTTGCTTGCTCTATTATTTTTCTATTCTATCTGTTTTCTTTTTATTTATTATATGATTAAAAAAAAACACCTTGCTACGTGTAGGCTACTGCATTAAGCTAACTGAGACTTGTTATAGCACTTGCATATCATTGCTCTTTTGTTGATTTTGATTGCTTCCATTGTCCTCATTTGTAAGTCGCTTTGGATAAAAGCGTCTGCTAGATGTCTAAATGTAAATGTAAATGTAAGCTCACTGGTTTTCCACTAAATGGGCCAAGGCCCACTAGAGAGCTGCAATATCATTTAAAATAAGTTAAAAATCTAGTATAATTAAAATAGTATCTAAATCAATATTTTATACATCATTCGTTTTCAATCTGAGCTGCTGTCTTTATAAAAATTATTTAAAAAAACAAACTATTCCTTAAAACTATTATCAGTGCTGACAGCAGCCTTTAAGTTGATAAATTTACATAAGTTTTCTTTAGTGTCTTACAGAACTGCAAAATTGAATAATTGCATTCACATCCCAGAGAAATCTTATTCCCAAAACACTGATCTGCTCTTGTGCAAAGAGAGACTGTGTTTTAGTTTATAAAATAAATGTAAATCTATAAACATGATATTAATTTGACACTATTGTTCCTACTCCAGCTCCTCTCTCTGGATGCTGTGTCATATCACTTTCTCTTGCCAATTTGAACCCCCAGCCTCCCCCACAAGCAAATCCCTATTACTCTGCCATGTCTGGAAAAAAAAATGCCTGTAGATCAGTTTGCTCAATAATCTTGAGCTGACAGGATCCGGAAAGAAACAATAATAAGCATGATTTCTTCTCTCAGGAATTGCAAGGGTGCATGCTGAAAAATGGCCTAGATTTCGAAAGCAGCTATGCCTAGTGAAACATCGCTGATTTGGCTAAATAATCTGTCATGAATTAGTGGCAGAAGAGGAAGCAGTAATTGCTTGGTGATCCATTTCTGTGCTGAGGCAACCAGACATGAGGGGAAAATCTGAAACTGGAGAAGTCAGAGAGAGACACATCAAAGCTCTGTACAGTTCTAATTGGATTATCATTGATTAACATCAGTTTTATGCGGAATATACCGTTTTTCCATTGAAATCATGTTCTTACACCCAATGCCCTGGAGTTGGTGCTGGTATCTTAAGCTATTAAAATCCAGTGAGTACATGGGCTTCAGACAAACAGAATATCAACATTCTGACTCTTGTTTGCAAATCTCAATACCTCGGGTTCTCCATTCAGATCTTTTATAAAGGAATAAACTCAAAGGCTCAGGTAAGAGCTTCTCTTACCTGAAAGAACTGAAGGAGATGGAAGGATTGGCTGGAAATGTACAGCTGTTTTTCACCACAGCTGGCTGGAAGGATTGGATAATGTAGCTATAATCCCTCAAACATGGGAAGTGAGCCTGTCAAGCAATTGAAAAGTGACTATGCATAAGAGCTTTCTGAAGCTGTGGGAAAACAAAATGATTGACTGCTCTAATTGGCATTGGTAATAAAAAAAGAAAAGTCTAGATGCTTTGCCTCTCTTTATGTGTGGCGCCTGATGTGTTTTTAACAATAGAAAGAGAACCAGAAGTGTTTGGACAGATTGTTTTAATGAAGATTTAAACACAGACATTTCCTTCATTCATATGGCATTAGTTCTTGTAATTTATAGATGGCAGAGAAACCGTGCAAAATAGATTAGGTCAGTTGATTTTTGTAGATTAATTGTTTTTAATAGTATCTTGACGCCTATGTATGTAGGTCACTATTGAATTCTGTTTGAAGTGCTGATGCGGGTTTTTGGGGGAGGGTGCGAAAGCCTGCTAACATTTTCCCTCTCAACATATTTCGGCAGAGTTCCTCGCATTTCCCTGTTTGAATGTCAGTAATGACCACATTCATCCAGTTTCAAGGCCCAAAACAGACCGTTGCTTTTGAATTCATCTTCTTTGTTCTCAAGCTCACTCTTTGACTGCACATTTCTAATTTTGCAACAGCACGTTTTTCTGCTGACAAGTGAAATAGTGAAGTCTTCACAACCAGAACAGCTGTTATTTGGCTTTATCTGGCAAAAAGAGATGGAATGAGAATGAGAAAAAAACTTGGTTTCATTAGCAGTGTTTTTGTATTTGCACACATCTGGAGCGTTGAGCAGAAAGGGTTATATACTGATTGGTGAAGGAGACTGAAACATTCAGAGGCTGATTCAATGAGAGACATCAAGACGAATATGTGTTAACATTAGGGCTGTGCGATTAATCGAAATCGTCATAAAATCGCGATTTGAGCTTGCGCCATTTCTAAATCGCTTTATAGCACGATTTTCCGCACCCCCCGACCTCCCGCAGTATGCTATCCGAACCAATCAGAATGCAGCGCGCCTAAATGGAGCACGAGAACAGAACAGACTGGGCGGGCATACAAACGTAACGCCAGGTTCACGCACTCCATCTGTGGTGCGTATTTTGTCCGCGCCTATGTTAACGGATCAGAGCGTTCACACTGCACGCGATTGCGGTCCGGCAGTGCGCTCCAGGAGCATAATGCATATAATTAAAGTCTACTGTTTCACAGTCACAGTCAACACATGGCTTTTTGGCTAGATTTAAAACAAGGAAAAGTGCACTTTTAGATAAACAAGGCAATAATAGATGGCACTCGTGGTGGTAGTTAATAACATTAGCAATTGATATATAGACCAAGCTGATTAATTACATATAGATTTTTATATTACTACATTGATAGAATTGGTCTCATTGTGATCCCTATACATCAATATCCTATATTGGAGAAATAGCATTCTTTGCTTTTGACCATTTTGGTTAGATATTGCTTTGAAGGATGCATTGTTTGCATGGCATTGCACTTTTAAATGGCATTGTTTGCTAGTGATCGCTTCAAAGCTTATGGCTTGGTTGGTTTTTAGAAAGCGGCAGCACCTCTTCCAACCCATTCCAATATGTTCAGTTAATCTGCGAGGTCGATGATGAGAAAGTCATTTAGGTTTACAGCTCTGCATCAGCCATTGTTTACCCACGCTGCAGCTGCAACGAATCTTTACATTTCCACTAATCTCTTCTTGTCCTTTTTAATACCCTTCCCATAACGAGCGTGCCTCAATTAGAACAGGTCAGCATTGATCCGTGGCTCCCGCTTCGGCCAAGTTGCTCCACTTTAGCGCTTAATGAGTCTGTGCAGTGGATGGTGTGCCCAGTGCGGTGCTAGAATACAGTATGTAAATGTAGCTTATGTGGAAATGCTGACTTGATCTGAAATAATCTTCCACAGGAAGGATGTTTGTTTAAGGAAGAAGAAGAGAGGAAAGAGGGGGAGACAGTGCACAACACACATGCATTGTTGCTATTGTGTGCTTTTGAATTGGAAACTCACCCCCGATTTTTGGACTTCCTGTCACAGGACCAGCCCTGAGGGAATTGACCTGGATCAGGGTGAAAGTCTCTGCTGTAATCACAATACCTTGTTGATTTGGTCCAGATCTAAGTTTTTAACATTGAGAGCTCTTTAACCAATGAATCATCCGTGTTTCCAACATCTGTTAAGTACTAAATGCCGCTTTCCTTTTAGATGCAGGAGAAATTTTCAGTTCCCTCAGTCCACCAATGGACAGACAGAGCGTAATGTTTGTGAACGCAACAGAAAGGCCATAATTGACAACAGATGCCTGATCCTGCTGGATGCACGTGGTTAGACGAACAAACTGTTACCTGACATAGAATAGGAAGGAATGGGACCGAAATCACACTCCTTAAAAC